ATCATCCAGACAAATGACAGAAAGTGTCTCAGTTGGAGTATCAGTATGATAAAGTGCCTTTCTTAACATAAAGCTATCTTAATTTTATGATGCCACTACTGATGTGATATGTAGTGAAATTTTTAAGTTCAACAACTGCCTGTCAAACAGCAAACTTACTGTGAAAAATTCTTCTAGCCTTCTCTGTATTAACAGTCTTGGACATTTTTGGTGCCTTGAATACCTGGGTTTACTTTGTTTTGCTTGGGCAGTAGGAGTTACTTGGAAGTAGGCATTAGCTAAGAGAAAGCAGAGGACAATCAAAGGGTTAAGAAGTCTTGTATTGATGTTAATTGATGTCGAAGAGGCACTCAGAAAAACAGCTGATTCTAACCCAAAGGCACCACACACCCCAACAGACAAAGTATATTACAGATTCAGATGCAAGTTGGAAATTATCACTTCACAACTGGATTTAGGAATTTCCGACTGTTCCTCTAGAAATATGACCAAAAATGTGCACACACTCACTCACTAAAAGGGGGAAAAGGTCTCACTCAAGGGTACCCAGCTAATCCAGAAATCTCGCTCACCCTGGGAGGGGTGGACACTCTCAGTCCCAGGAAGCTTCCTTGGACAGCATCCTGACCCAAGGGGAGGGGGAGATCCCCAACTGCAGACCCACTGCTCTGAGGAGGATCAACTCAAATCTCAAATTGGCTTTCCGGCGGGGCACCATTTATACCTGAGTCAAGGCTGGCTGTGGGCAATTTCTAATTAGCTCAGGAACCAGTGCGCAAACGACACGGTAAACAACCAGGCCTCATCAGGCCTCAAAAGCAGTCCTTCCCAGGTCCTTGGAACAGGCCTGTTGTCAGGTCTTTTGCAAGGTCTGTTGTCAGGGAGGATGCAACTGCCACAATTGCTTGGTCCATTACGAGGAATTAAACATTACTTAGAAACACAACATGAGAAAATACAGACTAAATTCTTTTTACACCACAGCCTTCACCCAATCTTGTTGAGAATAAACTGTAGTTTTGTCATAGAAAAATAATGAAGGGGGAACAGGGAGAGTGGCTAAGCCAGAACTTTCCAGAGCCCTTTTCTTTCATTCCTAAAATGTTTGTTCCAACTCTCAGGCTGAGAACAAAACCATGCAAACAAACACATACACAGAAGCACGCACAAACACAGAAGCAAAGCGCAAGCAGAGAAGAGGATTCCCAGCCAAGTCAGATCAAGTTGGATCAGTGAAGCTGAGAGGAGAATTTGCCCAACTGATTGGTACTGAAACTCAAACTGGTAACTTTGATTCTGTCTTTAAACACACCAGAAATAAGTAAGACAGGTCCAGATTTTTCTATTCTTGCAAACTACCAAATCCTTGCTTAGGAAATAACTGATTCTAAAAACCTTCAGAAAACAAAAATATCCTTATCAATCTAGTGAAAAACATGTAGCTGATCTTCAAGCAACTGATCTCCTAGAGCTATTTCGTTCTTCCTGTACATCAGCCTTACTTCATTTCTTTCCTCTTTGCTCACTTTCTCACTTTCTTTCATTCTGCTATAGAATTGTTTTCATTTTACTGCTTCCTCTTTGGTCTACTTCTTCCTCTTTCCTGGAAGTCAGAGGCAGCATCCTTGTCCACAGAAAATGCCACTCAAAACCTATCATCCAGTACTTCTCCATTTTCAGACAGAAGTTCTGACCCAAAGGTTGCAGAACCATAGAGACAAGGAAAGAGAGGTTCTGACCCAGGAGAAGCTTGCAATGCATGACTAAATGTGCAAGAAAAAACGTGCAGCCTTTCCCAGCTTGAAATTCAGGATCTACCCCAAAATACTTAAAAAACTTATTTTTTAACATGAGTTTTATTTAGTGAATTATGTGATGTGAGCCAGTGGAACTGGACTTACATGCTAAACAAAATATTCAGGCCTCTGTCACACTGCCAGTGTGGAAATCCGTGGGAAAAAAAAAGTAGAAGCAAGAGCAAGAAGATAGAACTGAGTTTTCACCTGGGCAAGCACTTTCTCTGATCAAGAGGCATGAACTCAATCACAACACAGATCCACCACTATGGGATAAAACTCATGAAAGTTTATGTACTAGCTAAAAAAAAGTTATGATCATTTGATGTCATTGTGGCATCTAGAATGTAACAATATTTTCTCACTGTGGCTGTATGACATATTTGATGGAAATTAACAGGTACAAACTAATGCAACATTTGTGTAGGTCACGTCAAAGCAGATCATACAGTGGCTGAAGAACAGGGGACTGCTAGAGACCAGTGCATTTATGCACAGAAACAAAACGACTCACCAGTCTAAGTTTCTTTAATACATTTTATTGCTTTACAGACAGAAAATCACTTTATCCTACTGGTACACCTGGGAAGACACGTGCCCTGTATGGGTAATGAAGTTTTCCTCTTGTAAAAACTGGGTTTGTCCTCCAGTTTTGGATTCCGTATGTTGTGCAGTGCTCTACCTTGGAGAGAACTGTGAGGATGAAGGCCTGAGTTTAGGAAATTTAAATTTTACTTAATCCTCTGTGCAATCTCTGGAGACTCAGACTTTAGTGCATATAGACCTCAGGTGCAGAAAAAGCTGACCTCTTAGAAATGGGTTTTGATTTCTGTCTCAGAATGGACCTGAACGATATATTGACTTCATATGTTACGACCTCTGCACTGGCAGAATGAGGCAGCTATGCAAGAACATAGATTTACTTTCAGCAGCTGCACACTCTATACCTGCAAGTATTCAGCAATATTACCTGCAAAAGATTAGTGAAGCAGCAACAAGCTGCCTACTCAAGCCCCAAAATTCCTATTACACAAAGATAGATACTTGCCAGGTATCTGACAATAACAATAAAGGAGTCTCAAGAAAAGAAGTACATCCAGAAAACACGCTCCGGTACATGTGTAATTTCACTCAATGTTAGTCAGAATCTGGAATTTAAATGCATGCTTAAATGCTTTCTCAGACATGGTCACAGAATAGAGCTTCATATCACACGTACAGGATTCTCTCATATTTATGTGCTGTTCATCAGTTGTACTGAAATCAGTGACTTCTGTCACTTTTAGACATAGTGTTGAAACACTTCTGTGAAAATACAGCTGGACCACTCAATAATAAATAACTATAATTAACTAAGAAATGAGTACTTCTCAGTCTCAAAGAAATGTATTTTCTTATTTTGACAGCTGAGCATCCAACAAAACGTGCACGGCTTCAATATCGACTAGCTCCTTCCCTACCACTTCCCCCCATATATCTGGCAAACCAGTATCATTTAGGTACTGTAAAAGGGAAGAGTGAGAATTCTGGGAGAATCAAAAGAATATATGAGCAAAGAGACTAATTCCACTCCTTTTTTCCTATTCCAAATAGAAAAAAAATGTTTTTAACATTTTAAAAACTTTTAAATTATTCTAAAAACTATCCTGAATATTTAAATCAGATTCTAAATGTTTCATAGTCTGCTGCAATAAACATGCTTATATTAGAAGACAGACAGGCACAGTACAAGTTATTTTGCATTCTTAGATTTCAGCTTCTTGGTAGTCATTTCTTAAGCAATAATCAATGTTCCCATTTTCTAACCTGTTTTGAAGACCACGCAAGATGACATCAGAAACCAACAGTTTAGTAGCAGTTTTATTGCAGATTAGCATCTTGCTAGGTAAAAAAGATGAGTGGTCTCAGTCTCCCAGACCTAAATTTAGCAATCACGTGATTTCTCAACAGTAGAAGATGAGGTTTTAAAAATCATGAGAACTGAAGACATCAGAGTTTCACATCCAGAGGTACTTGTTACATTGTTAACGTTGCCTTTTCAGGCATTTGATCATGCGTCATGTTCCATGGACTGACACTGCTCTACTATCTTAATCTCCCATTCTTCCCCAGCTACAGGGAATGTTATAAATATTACCAGCTACAAAAAAAAAAATTAAAATGAGTTTCTGAGCTCACAGGTCTTTAACATACAAATGCAAGAGTGAATCCTTACCCCTTGCCTGTCATTCCTAATAATGAAAGCAAAGCTCCAAAGATGTCTGTGGATAGAACATGTTTTGAACAGCACTAATGAGATATATCTGAACAGCATCTTAAGACCAGTCCTGACACCCTTACTTTGCTGTTGACAGTGTGCAAGTCTTACACAGGCAAATATCTGTTAAAGTTTATTTATTTACTAAATAAAATTCGTAAGAGGATGACAACTGACAAGTTTGCTGACCAGAATTAAGCTGGTACCCTTAAGGAATTAATGAATCAACTGCTGTCTTTGATCCAAACATCACTTCTTTCAATATGCCCATCTGGTTTATTAACCAGTTGATTATGTAATTATGCATAATAATATAATAATTATTCAATTATTTATATTTTCAATCATTGTCAAACATAGTAGGTGGGTTTAAGGAAAATAAACAATTCAAAATCCAATAAGGACAGTTTTCTAATTAAGCTAGCTACCATTACCACTACAAAAGCAATAAAGAATTCCCAATAAATTATTTATATTTTGTTGGTTACATATTTAACCTAGATCTCTAGAAACAGACATATTCTGTACTGTGGCCTATGGGATATCTAGAACAATACAGACCCCTGGATTGGTCTCTGCTGATGCTACCCTTTGAATAATTCAATGATATTTACACAAACTGGCATATAGTTCCAAATGGGGGTGTCACTATGATGTAAAATTACTTACAAGAATCACAGCTAAAAGCAGAACCTAAGACTTTATGCTGGCACTTGATGTAAGGTGGATTCCATCCATGCTTGTTAGTTTAATAAAAATAAATATGATGTTATTCTTCAGTTAGAATGTGTTTCCTCTAGGGTAAGTAAGACAAGCTACTAACATTTCACATGACAGATTGAAGGGGAAAATATTTTCTCTAGAAAAAAAATGTACTGTCTTATGCCATGTTTCCATTGGAAGGGACATGCATATTTTGAATTATTGAATGGGCTACATATATTTAATCACTTGCTTTCAAGGAAAAGTGAGCTCAGATAACCAGATGAAAAAACCTTGCTGCTGTGCTTGCTTTCCTCAGACTCGTAGCATTTCCACAGACAAGCTATCCCATCAGCCGCAACTGAAAGGAACCTGCTCTGATCTGGACTCAGGGCTATATGCAGGACTCTCCCTTTGTGACCTGTAAAATAAAATACGTTTAAAAAAAAAAAAAAAAGATAACATCACAATTCTACATTGATTATGCCAGTCACTCTCACAACCCCCACTCACATTATGGCTTATTCCACTTTTACTGCAGCAGCAAAACATACTGAATATAAAACAGGAAGCTAGCATTATATATAGAATATTTTCACATTAAGAAAGAGCTGAAAGCAATATTTTCTTATTAGGGACCAGGCTTTAACTGCCAGGACTGCACCACATTGAGAAAACATTTTTGTCAAAGGAGAACATTGAACTCTTGATCCTCCACACATTTACAGTATCAGTCTCACAGGCATTTGTGAATGTGTCTTGCTGCTGAGCTTTCCCATTTGGCTGCACATGCTTTGCAGACAGTTTGCAGCTGATTCAACAATAATAAGATAGTGTCTCCAGCTGCTCAGTTATTAGTGTTAAGGATATCTTTTAACAGTGATCCCACTAAATAATCTATTGGAATTGTATACTGAGCTTTTCTGCAGTTGCAGTAAACCTCATTGCTCTGTCACTGACCTCCTGTATCATCTAGCATGATGTCAATGTTAAGCAAACCCATGAGGTTTTTAGACACATGGGGGCATGAGAAATCAGAAGCCTTTGTACTCTAAGTTACTGGCCTTAGCTTCTCTGATCGGGTGATTTACTGATAATCATTTACTGAGCTAGTCACCCAAAAGGAAAAAAGAAACCTCTAAACCATAGTGTACTTAATCTAAAATAGACTAGATGAACCACATCCTTAAAGGAAGTGTGAAGGTAGGAAGTAAGTCTTAGGTGACCAACTTGAATACTCACCTGTGGTAACCATTGTCCTCCCATCATCTGTACCTGAATTTTCCATGAACAGAAGGCGATAGCACTTTTCTAGCTCAAAATAATTTTATGAGGATAAACATGTGAGGAGCTGTAAAGCACCCTGAAAATGTGGTACTTATCACAATGGTACCTCATGAAGATCGAAAGGACTGTTGCAGATGGACAGTCTGTTCTAACTGTGACTAAAAGCATATATTGGCTGTTCTAGTGGTGAGTAACATGTCCGTCCTTAACTTTGCGACTAGAATTTTGATACCACCACTAAACCATTTCATCAGATATAAACTGTCAGGCTTTGAGCACTCTCATATTATTAGGCGTATATGATGTTTGTCAATACTTAAGACCAGGAGTTTACAACATTGTGAATTCTTTACACTGTCTCTCTTCACTGTATGTAACATCTCTGAAGGAAGAGCTGGAGAGGTAGTCTCTGGAGATATCTCTGGAGATATCTTTAACTATCTACAACACTGATTGAAATTTGATTATTAGTTTCTTTTATGTCAAAAAGAAGTGAAAGGGAATAGGGAGAAATCAGAAAAGCTGAAATTACTACCTTCCATGTTGTCTGTGTGAAATTTCCTGGGTTTAGTTCAATTTTTCAAGATCGCATTCAGTTATTTTTCAAAGCAATTACATACTTAGTTTGCTTGTATGTTTTCCTTGACCTACAACTTTTCTAGCAGGAGGGCATTACATCCAAAGTGAATCTTTCTTTTTTAGTAAATTACTCTCTTAGTTCTATCAGAAGTATCTCAAAAACATAAAACATAAATATTACTGCCTTTCAGTTGTTGTTCTGTTCTGAATATGCTCAGTAATAGGTAACATCAATTACTGAAGTAGGCATCCCCAGCTGACGGTGCTTCATTGCTAAGGCGTTCAGCATTTTGCAGGATTAAACTTACAAACATTTGAGAAACCTCAAGCTACAGCAGTTAAGACTAATGTTCATGACTCTTTCCAGACCGTTTCTGAGAACATTACAGGGCATTAATAATCCAAGGGCTGGAGCAACTCTCCTACGAGGACAGGCTGACAGCTTGGGTTATTCAACCTGGAGAAGAGAAGGCTCCAGGGAGACCTTATAATGATGTTCCTGTGCCTGAAGGGGCCTACAGGAGAGCTGGGACAGGACTGTTTGAAAGGGTGTGTAGCAATAGGATGAGGGGCAATGGTTTTAAACTAGAGCAGGGTAGATTTAGATTAGATATCAGGAAGAAGTTACTTTGAGGGTGGTGAAACACTGGCACAGGTTGCCCCGAGAGGTGGTGGAGGCCCCATCCCTGGAGACATTCAAGGTCAGGCTTGATGGGGCTCTGAGCAACCTGATCCAGTTAAAGATGTCCCTGCTCACTGCAGGGGGGTTGGACTAGATGACCTTTAAAGGTCCCTTCCAGCCCAACACGTTCTATGATTCTGTGACTACCTTAACAGCTGTAAATAAATAAGGAGGGATAAAGAAGGAAAAGCAGCACAGACAGCATGACACATGGATAATGTGTAATCATATCCACGTATGTCTCTGCTGCCCTCTCTCTTCCATCCATATTTGTTTGGACTCTCCTGTGCTTTCCTCTTACAGGTAGTCTGGAAGCCAAGTCCCTGATTCCACCCAAGTCCCTGGTTCCAAGGACAGCATCCCAGTACAGCAGGTTGTAATAAATCAGGAATTTAATAAATGCCTTCAAATGTAAGAACAGGGTACAAAAAGTATTTGTAAATATCAACTGTCAAGTTAAAAATCCAAAGCCACTTTCGCCATATCTCGTAAGTGCATGTGAAAAACAACCATATTTGGGAAAATGCAGCCAGTGCATAAATAATCTATTTTTCTTTAACTTCTGATACTTCTACTGTATCATTGCAGTTAACAAAAACATGTCGGACTGAATGCACAGGAGTGACAGCAAGCACCGGAAACAGGAAGGCTTATTGCAAGGAACAGCTTTTTTACGTAGTGTAGCCCTACAGCACCATCAACCAACACAGAGCTGCAAGAAAACTCCACTTTCCTCTAGCTGCCAGCATGGTACAAAGGAAACATGCTGCACCACAGACAGCTCCAAACAACACCTGGAGATTTATTTCAAACATCATTTGGAAGTTGGTTCAGTATCCTTGCATGATGAACTGCAAAATTGAAGAGCCACAACTAGCAATCCGATATCAGCACACTAAATCCAGACCTAGTAAGCCTTAGGGAGAAGTGGAAATCTGCATCCTGCACCTGGGATGGCCTTGGAAATGACATCAAAACCCAGGAATTTTACAGAAGCAACTTATACCATTATCTTAGTAAGTCAATCTTTATCATTCCATAAATAAGGATTGTGTACATGAATCCACCTGTGTATGCAGAGGGAGGATGTGTGGGTGACTGCTCTTTTAACACTTTTTTTACATATGTGCGTAAGGCATGCACTTGCAAAACCACACTGATTAGACAGTTAACTGAAATAATTAAAACGACTAACTGAAATACTTGCCATAGAGTTCTGAAGAATTGGTAAGCATGGGATACTTCCATATTTTCATCTGATTTCCAGGAAGACCTTGTCCAGTCATCAGTTTGCTGCTTTTGGGTAACCAGAGCAAGGAACAAATCTATTGCAATTTAAAATTCTGCTTTAATTTTCAGGAAGAGTCAACATACACCATCCAGTAGATTTGAAATGTTATCTACAATGTTTAAACAAGCTAATGAGAAATAGTTCCAGCAGAATATTTACTTGTTTAGAAGCATCATTTCACTCCCTACAACACTTCAAAGTACAGCTGCCTTATTGTCCTATCTAAACATGATAACTGCCTATCAGTATAAAACCGAAGTCCTGCAAACACACCCTCAGCTAATTGTAATAGCTCCAGGAAAATCAAGAGTTATGCTGCTTTACTGTATTTGAGAATCTGTTCCTCTGTCTCCTAATATTCAAACTCCAGAGATGGATATTTGCCCTTTGACTCTCATACCTCTTCTCACCCCAGCACTCTGGGAATTTTCCCGCCCTCTCAACATTCTCTCCACATCAAGAGTTTTGGCCAAAACTATTATTGCAGATAAGGAAAAGATGATGAGAAATGTCTGGCCGCAAGACCACCTCCTCTTCAATCACTTCTGTGCGGAGACAGAAGTGGTGAATGAGAAATAACAAAGTGCTTCTGAGTCAAACCACACACTGCAGTGCTGAAAGTAGCAAAACTGAACATCCAGAGAAAATTCTGCTGCTCCTCTGACCGTAGAACCACTCTCAACATCAGTGGGAGTTTGCCAGATGAGCATAGCTATACAGGGAGAGAACAGCTTACGTGTGCAGACGTTTCATCACTTCACCTGAGAATCTGTAGCTACACTTCGGATGATTTTCTCACGATTTATGTCCCAAACACGCAAAATCCCATCTTTCATTCCACCTCCTGTGGCAAGGACTTTGGATTGCCAAGGACACCAGTTCATAGCCTGAAAAAAAAAATGAGAAAAAATAAAGAAATGTTAGAATAGACTAGGAGTTTAGCTGGAAAAACAGAGTAGTTTTTGCTTAAAAGCCTAGTTAGACAAATAAACTGCAACAAGCACTCAGAAAGTATGCACACAGCAATGCAGGATCCCAAATCTCCAAATGATTATTTCCTTGCCATTGCTTCACCATAGCCAGCACTGTCCCACATATGCTCATGAAACTTCAGATTCTCTGCTTACCCTTCACAAGCCAAAGACTCACACCTCAGTACAAGAAGAAACCAGCAGGACAGAGTCTTACCTCCTAACCCAAGCCATCACAGAAGCCTAAGCAACATGACTGACAAGAGACCTGGTTTCTTTTGAGATATTTCCAGGATATGCCTATGGCTCAGCCTCTACCTGAAGAAAAGCTACTATGAACTCAATTCCACCTGTTTCAGTAAACTCTTCTGACCCTTTAACTCCAGCACTTCAGGCCAGCCTCAGATTCTTTTGGGAGGACAAACACCTTATAAGTGCTGGACTCCCCTGACTCTTATTACTAATACCTGTCTTCTGTCCCACACAGACTGGGACATCATAAAGGTGAAGGATCTTAAATTGTCTCATTTCCTACCTCAAATTATTTACTAACAGGAATTACATGAAAATATAGGCAGGAGGGGAAAAGAAACCTCATATTCAAATTAATTGCAGCAGACAGAATTTTCAAAAATTCCAGAAATTGAAAGATCTTGTTTGTTAACTTGTAGGCATTGCACCACCAAACTTTTCTGTGCAAGGTAGAAAGATACAAGGAGAAGGCTGTAAATTTTACTTCTATTTGGCATTATACTGACAAAGGCCTATTAATCCAGTAAAATTTCCCAACCAAAGCCCTAACAAACTTACCTGTGACTTGGAATTGGGAGAACTGGTCTTAAAATTACCTGCATCACCGTCAAGGAGAAGAAACTAGTAGATATCTGTGAGATAATTTGAAAAAATCCCTACCTGTCCACATCAACAATAGGATTTCATGGCAGCAAATATAGGGAAGCAGAGAGTCCTTCTCCATATACCTTAACTGCTGAGGAATGAGGTATGGTTTTCAGTGGCTGTGACTGCAATTTCACACCAGGGTCATTAGGCCAGATACTCAGTATACCATCACTAGACCCACTTGCCAGCAACTGGTCAGTTAGTGACCATTTCAGGCTGCAAATGCTTTTTTTGTTTTGGCAAAGAGTCCCAACATGGTGCTGAGCAACCCGAACATCATGGTGATGAATAGATCCTAGATGTGAACCACTGTAGAAAAGACAAGACAGTATGGGTTTAATGTTAAAGAAGACAAGCTACATTGTCACACTGTTTCTTCAGTGGTTTCAGAAGCAAACCACATCTGAGTGAAATGTGTCTGCAGAACAACAGTATTTAGCAAAAGGAAACACAAAGCAACTATCAAAACGACACCCTGACTGTAGAGGTGGCTGACAACACAAAGGAGCCAAGCAGCTGCTCAGTTCAAGCCAGGTAGAATACCTCTTCTCTCTCATAGTTTTCATTTCCCTGAAGATATATTGTATGTCACTAACCTGCACTATGTTCAGCTGTCAAGATATTTCCTGTTCTCCATAAAAAATCACTTTGCAAGATGATTTTTGTCAAAGCCACATATCACTCTATGCCCACCAAAAACACTTTTGAGCTGCATTGGTCTGGGAAAGGACTTAGTAGTGAGCCACAGAGTGTTCTTTGTTTCCAAACCTTCTATACTGAAGGTTATGCCACTTGGCATTGGCAGGACACTCCAGCTGCATCCTTGTAACTTAACCCCACAGCGCTGCTGCTCCACCAGCACCATTTTATTAACTGGTTGATCAGCTGGTGTACTTGTACCTCACTCCAGCTAGCAGACCCAACACAATCAAAAACCAGAGCATACTGTGAAATCAAAGTGAAACTACTTCTAGTGTTCCTAGATCGAGATATACTAGTTCAATTTTGAGTTTAACAATAGATTCGGTCCACCCTTGCTATTATTTCTGCATTTAAATTAAACAGAAGACTATCATATGATTTTAAAGTCATAGAAGCGTTCATCACAAGTCTCCTCTCAAGTCTTCTCTCAGCCCCTTCAAGCATGAGTCAAAAACCTGAAACAGAAAGTGGGAGGAAATAAAACCACAAAAGAGTACTCTCAGTCTTTCTCATCCAAGTTCCCATATTGAAGTGGTCGCTCAATACAAAATATCCACTAGCTGGTATAAAATTCACCCCTGGTAAAGAAAAGGTCAACCACTCCAATTGTCCTTGGGTTGTGGATTGCAACAAGCTTCCGTTGTAGATACACAGCTAGAGACATGCACTAATCATAACAACTGTGTTTCTCTGTGCACCTGAAAAGACAGATGCAGTCTTGACACCAATGGAAGGGCAGTCCAAACTACATGCAGGTTCCACTGAGACCAGACCCAGTGGAGACAACACCATTCCAAGCTCAGGCTTTGCACAAAACCAGTGCCAACAGCCTCCATATGTTAGTGAAATTCTGCCAGCAGTGAGTTTTCTGGATGGAGAGTAAGAGATAGAGAGTAGAGTCAAGTTAAATCCCCTTTGGCTGCTTTTCTGCCATACAGTAAATCTACATATGATTTCCATGCCAGCTGATAAGTAGAGGAACAGGATAAATCACCTTTGAGCAAAGCCAAGGAAAACAGCTAAAATGAATGGGAAATCTGTCTAAGTAAAAGCAGCAGGACTCTTTCCGGGAACATACTATGCCACTCACCTGCTCAGAATATAATGATTCCAGCTTAGAGCTCCAACTACAGACAAGTGACCAAACATATTTCTCAACCTCTTTTTGGTTTCAATGTCCCACAGCTGCCAATCCAAAACAAACAAGAAATACAAATATAACAACAACAAAAAAAAGTTTGCATTCTCTTCATGTTTGCAGTTCTGACTTGACATATGGACAACATCAAGCTCATTTATTTTACAAGTAAGACAAGAATTATTATTTCCATATATCAGTGATGGTGAAGTCAGATAGGGTTGAAGGGAATGCACATCTGTCAGTTTAAAGCTGTTTATTTACAGTATATGGAAGTCCATATTTGAAAGCACTGGCCTTCAGACCTTCAGACTGCTGACTCCAGACTCCAGCAGGTAAGTCTCCATGTTATCTAGCATCTCAGCCAAAATCCCACAAAAATCTTTTGATAATAGGACTGTGCTGTAACAGCAGGCTGAGAGGTATGTGTATAACTGAAGTCCAGATCTCATGTGTGATTCCATAAAAGGTTCTGGATTGAGTTCTCAAGGCATCCATCACTAGAGTGATCTTAGCAAGAGAGATACAAGAAAAAAGTAGCCTGTGCTGAGTGAAATAATTTGATGAAAGAGTTCCTCTTATGGAAGAAAAAAAATGGGATTGTCTCTGAACAACCGATCACTAATTCAGTCACTGGCTTTTTAGTGGCTTTAGAGGCTCCATTGAATACAGAAAACACTGGATTGTCACTAAGCCATTCAGTAAGGTGCAGCATGATAGAGGCAAGGGCTGTATATTGTCTCTGACTGATATGTTCTGTAATTTAGCTACCATTTTCATTTGTTTCCTTAAAAAAAAATCATTATCAGATTGTCTTGTGGTCACTTTAGCTAAAAATGGAGAAAGACTAAAAAAGTAAATTATCTAGTACTTGCACTTCTCCATCACTGGTGCCAACTGCAAGGCAAGTTCCTTCTTTTATCCAAGCCAGAGATGAAATGTATTTGGAACTGGAATTCAAATCAATGCTTTCAATGGCTTGAAGAGTTCCTCCACTCCAGATGTGTGCAGCAGATCCTACAGCAATACCAATGAGATTTTCAAGGCTCCAATCCAGTATGTTTAGATCTAGAAAAAAGCTACTGAAAATTACTGGAAAAAAAGTTGTAGTTAATTGGATGGTGTAAGGGGGTGTATGATTTTGGTTAAAAAGGCGGGTTTTTTCTGAACAGTTATGGAAAAAATTCGAGAGAATACTTCTATAAAACCATTACTGGCAAGTATTCCTCATACATGAAGGCAAGTATCTCTTACAAGGCAACGTTTTTGCTAAGTCTGATCTCCACAAGCTAGTATCTTTGCACAGCATGATCTGATTTACAGCTTCCCCACTAAAATTTTCTAATCCTTCACCCTGCATTTTGGATCGCCACATCACTCACTCTTAATTTCTGCCACCAGAAATGAGATTCCTCCACCAACAGCTACAGTTTCAAAATCACCCTTGTTATAGGGTAATTCTTATTTTTGAGAAAGATATAGGAGATAGTCTACATACTACAGTCTGTCCCACATCTTCAGGTTAATGGTAACATTTACTCTACGCATGACAAGGGAAAAAAATGCACAAAGCATTCAGAGTTTGCTGATCAAGTGTTTGATGGAAATACTGTTTACATTGCCCCTGCTGCTGGGCACATTGCACTTACAGATCCTGGCAAAGCAAATCACTACAGCTACTACCCTCAGAACAACCTGCATGTCAGGTAGGCCAGAAGTTAGCATACAACATTTAATACTACATTCTGATATGCCAAGGGAAATCCTCAGCTGTCCACTTAGGACAGCTTATAAATCATTCTGCATGACTCCTGAGGAACAGAAGAGAGCCAAGTCGCTCTCCATCAGCTATCAGCAGTCCTGGTTAACGGAGGAGGTCCCGGATGACTGGAAACTTGCCAATGTGACACCCATCTACAAGAAGGGCAGGAAAGAGGATGGTGGTGGAGTCACCAACCCTGGAGGTGTTTAAAAAAAAAGTAGATCTAGCACTTGAGGCTATGGTGTAGTGGTTAGGTATGCTGGGATGAAGGTTGGACTAGATGATCTTCAGAGGTCCCTTCCAACCCCGAACATTCTGTGATTCTGTGATTCTGTGATTACCATAGGCCAAGGTCTGACATCATAATTTGGTAACTAAATCATTCTGAAGAACAGCTGAATCTGTCAGTCAGATGTTTGACTACAGTTTTGGTTGTAGCAGCTGGCAATCACTTCCAAAGGCTTCTGTCAATGCTGTTCACCTTGGGATACACTTTGTGCACAATCGGTATAAATCATACAAGCAAACCTTTGTCCTGTTCATAGATATTACAGGAACACTTGCAAGAATATGTTGATAAAATCTTCACAGGGACTTTTACTTGCACATACTGAGTTGCTAGTTAGCTCTTATGAAGTGTTAAAATACGTATTTGCTGCTGTACATCAGCGATCTGCATGTGTTCATGTGTAGCTTGTGCATGTTTAATTTTTGCCTGTGCACAACTAAAAATGTAAGCAAGAATCTAGTTCAAAAGGTATTTGTCATCCAAATTATAAACAAAGTCACTGATGTCTCTCAAAACAAGAGATTTCAAGATCTTCTCAATAAAGTTGCTGCTGTGTTGACTGGCTGCTAGATATTCAAGATGACAGCTGAAACATCTAAATTTAAGAGAGGTAAGTATATTGGTATGATTTGAAAGTTGTGTAGAAATTTACAGCTGAAGGAAACTGAATAAGAGTTAGGCAGTATTGACTCTAGGGTTTGATAAATCATGTCTCCATCTTGGGACAGGCAGTTTTCAAAGATGTATCCTTATAAGAAAAATGACATCATGCAGCCATCCTCTGGAGGTTGCATTTTATGTGAAGGGGACATATCTTCATCATCCTTCTTGAAACATACTTAAGAATTCCTAATCTCTGCAAAAAAACACCACACAGGAGAAATTAACTTACAGTAATCATTGCGCAAGCCAGTAATATGAATCCTCACTTCTGGCTCTGGTGCTATGGAAGGTTTCATGGTGGTAATAGCTCTAAACTCATTCTGGGTCCCGTCTCGGCATCCTGTATTTGAAGATTCACCACACCCAAATCAGTAATGCAGAATGCTACCAGCTTTTCTCAGGCCTATTCTCACTTTATCTCACTCTCCATGGTCCAGAGGAGGCCAGAAAGGTCTAACTCATCCTGAGCAGACTCAAAGCACTACATACTAGGTGAAAACCACCTTTTACCACCTCTTTCAAACCTCCAAGGATTGAGTCAGCTAGACTAGAGAACCGGGTCCACTACATTTGGTTTAAATTGCAACACAAGTCAGTACAGAATGTGGAGGTTTTTGTCTTTTTCACCTTAGTTGTCTGTCAAAACCTGTTAGTAGCAGAATGTTTCATTTGTGCTCACCCACTTCAAAACCTCCTCATATAGCAATTAACGTTTATGCCTTCTGGTGTTAATTTCTGACCAAAATGTCTCCCCTATCAATACCTAACCACAGGAAAAGGCTTTTAAAGCACACATGATTTGATAACAGCACACTAAGCTTGTGACAACACAGAAGCGAGAAACAAAAGCAAATGCAAGAATGAGCAAGTGGAAGAATCATCCTTTGTGGTCATCATCTATATTATGCTGCAAGGACACCAAAAGACCATAGAAAAAGTGCCAGATCATTACCACTATGAATCATTTAATGCTAGATTTGTACGTGTAAGAAATTATCTTGCTGTAATTTGCAATCAGAAAGCTGGAGATTCACATTTCTGTGCTTTTCTTTGTGTTTAGACTTCCTTTTTGAATTATTCTCCAGAGAGCAGTATTAAGAACGTATATCAAAAGTTTCAGGGGCAGAAGACATTACTTATCTCTACAGCTAACCTTCTCTGTACAAAAATAATCAACACTAACAAAGTTTTTGTACTCTGTAACTTTTGTACACCATAACACAAACACCCTGCATTTTAACCTCTGTGATCCCTCAGCTTTACATTGAATATGATGTATATGGAATGGAATATTCTTATTGGTCACTTGCCCCGTCCATTCCTCCCCAAAGGTGCAACCTTTTACTTCCCTGTGACTCCTTTTACGTCTTGGCATCCCCAACCTTGGTCACTGCAGGAGCAAGTATAGACAAGAGCCTTTCTGCATCTCAAACCCTGGTAGTAACTATAAACATCAGGTGTTACCACTTCTAGCAGCACACACTGTCTGCAAAAACATGCTGCTAACTTCAGAAAGTGCAGTCTCTGAGACTGATCCGAAAAGTTAAATCACTTCTGTTTAGCTCAAACCAGGACAAAGTCCAGTGATAAACTGGAGAACTTATTTCACACGGTCCTTCACTACTCTGTCCCGAATCTTATCCGCTAATCCAAAATTAACTCTGCCAGACAACAGATATTTTCCCTCTCAGATATTTTCCCTCTCAGATATTTTACCTCTCTTCTCTCCAAATAAAGACTGAAGATGAGCCAGAAACAGGACACAGTGATTTTCTTCTGTAGCTAAAATTTTGTGAAGTTCTCAGACCTGTCCAATGGGATATGTAACACAGCATTCTAACATCAAAAAAGCCTAATGTTACAGAAATCAAATTTCTCTGTATAGGAAAATTTGTATTTATAGCATCTAGATTTTTTGTTATTTTTTGAAAACTTTACCAAACCTTTCTGAATCTAGCCAAGTAAGATAATTCAGGAAAATTAAGGCGCTTAATTGTAATAGTTGCATGTACAGCAACACTTCTGAAGCACTCTGAAAACGTTTTTCTTCTTTAGCATTAGCTGCTATTATTTAGTAGTGAGATATGAAGGATGAAATAATCTCTGTAACTCATTTCAGGTTTTCCTCATGAGCAATTCATCTACCCCAAATTCATACTGATCACACTTTCAGCTCTATCCACTTACTTCGTAGACACATGAATGTTCATAACAGGCTTTGTAATTAATGGAAATTAAGCTCATTAAAACATTTGTGTTATTTTGCCTGGTTACTTGCAGGTATCACTGACTTTTGATAGGATTTCAGCTCCCACATGCCTGTGTCACTTCTCAAAATGAGAGTCAGGAAGCGGTAAGTAGTCAGCTCTGTCACGCCAGACCACTTGAACAACAGTAGTAGGTGGATGGAATAAAACTCAGTACTCCCAATACCTGTATTAATTTGCCATTAAGAAAATATCCAGTGACTAATCCCTGTACTGTTGCTATTGACTGCTCTGAAATGAGTCTTATTTACATGGAGAAAAACAACAAAGGAATATATAAATCTATCACGTAGCCCCCAACTTCTCATACAGGAGCTAAACTCCAGATTCATAAATAAGTTGTTTCTTACTGTTTTCACATGAGCATGAATCAGGCCCTGCCTGGCAAGAACTTGTCATCACAGAAAGAGCCAGATCATCAAAACAAATCACCTATCCAGGATAGAACACAATGAAATACTAGTCTGATGTTTAATAAATTGCCTCATACTCAAAAAACTCTGGAAATATCTGTATTATTTCACAGGTTAGCTCCTCACATCCCACATGTTTTTGAATCACCTGATCACTCACACTCCTTTAGGCTCATTCATTCCTAGGATATATTTTGGAGCAAATGAACCAACTGCTCCTGCTCCACAGATGAAACGACAGGCAGTGCTAGGGACAGTTTGCTCCAGCTGCCTTTCCCTACAGGAAGGACAAACAAGACCAGATCCCACCCATCTCTGCATGTCTTGCACTTTCACGAACCCAACAGCCATAGGATACATATGCTGTATCCATTCTGCAGCACAACCCTACATTAGTTGCAGGGTTCTGAAACTAAAAAGAAGAAAGGAAATTAATGTTTTAGGGCCACCAATGCATCAGATGGGGCCCAAAGGAGAACCAAGTAAAATACTAGGGGTTAACCATACTGGAAGAGGTGGAATACTATCTCTTCACAGGCAGTGGGAACTCTAGAAATAGCCCCAAGCAGCACAAATCTCAGCCACTTGGTATGGCTTCCAGGGGCCTACAGGAAAGATGGAGAGGGACTTTGTACAAGGGCATGTGGTCACAGGATGAGGGCCAGTGGTTTTAAATTAGAGCAGGGTAGATTTAGATTAGACATTAGGAAGAAGTTCTTTATTATGAGGGTGGTGAGACTCTGGAACAGAGAAGTTGTGGATATCCCCTCCCTGGCAATGTTCCAGGCCAGGTTGGATGAGGTTTTCAGCAACCTGGTTCGAGTGGGAGTTGTGCATGACCATGGCCAGGGAGTTGGAATTAGATGATCTTTAAGGTCCCTTCCAACTCAAGCCATTCTATGATTCATGATTCTATGACTCTCTAACACTTGCTGGAACAAGTAGATGCACTTGCTTTTCTAGTTTAGATGCAGTCTGCTGTATCTTACTGTTCAGTGTGCATGAAAATATTTGATATATTGGAACATACCTTTCCAGATGCAACCGGTATTTCCACAGGTCTTCCTGTCACCACTTTCTGCAATGCCACATCGCAACTCTTGGACCACTGGAAGCTGAGAAGGATATTTCTGCTAATACATTGAAGTGAAAACATGACTGAATGAAGACATCTGTCAAAAAACTTATTTAAGCATCATGGATAATACAACTCCCATCAAAGGGCTCAACACTTGTTACATAAAAGCTTCAAAAGAGTCTCTTGGGTGGGAGATCAGTTACAAACACTGAATACTAGCGTTAAATCATGCGTTCTAACTTAAGACACCATCTTTCCTTCTGTAAAATGTCAATTCACTGATAACGACCACACAGACTTTAACAAAGCTGTCTGAACAAGGCCATCTTACCTGTGGAAAAGGTCCCAGGTCTGTACATCTGTAGATACTGCCACAGGTACTACATGTGAAACTTTAGTGCCCTCTTGTCCTCTTCTGAATTGGTGTTCAAGCTAATTTTACCAGCACACAACACCATGTTTTCTGCAAGCAGTTAAGTCTGATGCCTCTGTGAGGGAAGACCAGTTTTGTGGTGCATGCATTGCAGGGCCATTGATTTCACCATGAAACCTACTGGATGTGAGAATCCTCTCTCAGATTAGGGTCCCAGAGCCTGGACTCCATGATGTCATTCCTTAAACCATTACTACAATATGAAACTGAACATATATAGAAGGTGGCTCAGAGGAATAAGATTTTTTTAATTACTTTATCATTTCCTTGGATATCAAAGAAACAGATGATACAGCAGACAAAGACAAGAAAATGGAAATCTGAATCGTTATTGGAACTTTTTTTTTTTCAAAAAAAAAATCTTAGGTCTTTAGCCAGGATTCAGGCAAACCTCACACAGGGTCAGCTCACACAGGATATAAATCTCTTCACCAATCCCTAGTAATATGCATTTCTCCACAATATTCTCTGAGTTGAATGCTCTGGTGGCAGTTGTCTGCTTGTTCTGTAATTCTTTATTTGCAGTCAGGTGGAAATGCAGTTGATGTTTTTAGCAGCCACTTAAGAGTACTATGTTCTTCCTCCAATGTCTGTGAAATCTATCTTTTCAAGCACACTCATTGTTACTCTTCCTCAAAATCCTGTTGCAATCATGATAAGACCTGTCTTACAAAAACACAGCTGAAAAAAAATTGTTCCTCTGTTCTACAACCCAGCTGTTCTACAGCAGGCCTTCATCTCTGAGAGGCACTTTCTGTACGATTTACACAGACAACTTGGCAGAAAGCTAATCAGATTTCTTGGATCTATGTCCCTCTAAAGTAAGTGCAGACATTTCTGTGGAAAATTGATTGTTTATAAAAGGAACTAATCTTTTGGCCTGCAAACAGACCACACATGTTCACTGGAATGTGAGAAGATTTTATTTTTGATGAAACCATGCCTTTATGCTACCAGGCAGCACAAATTAAATAGTCATTAATTACTGTATCTAAGAAGATTAATAGATTTTCATATGGTTTTTTGCCAGGACTGACTTCGAAATGGCTTTAGGAAGAACTTGAGTTTTGGTCATCTCACAACGTTATCTTAAAGACCCTCACATTACACTTTCAGGAAATGTCTGATGTTCTTGATGCAGAACTGAATATCTTAGTTCTAACTGAATTCCTGCTTATAAATTACAGTGTAACTCTAGGTAAGCCACTTCACTGTAGAGATGAACGACTGACATACAGAGGACTGATGCATGATCCATAGTGGGACCAGTACTGTCTAATATCTTCATCAATGACATAGACAGACTGAGTGCACCCTCAGCAAATTTGCAGATGACACCAAGCTGAGTGATGTGGTTGACATATCTGAGGAGCAAGATGCTTGGAACCTGGAGGAGCTCAAGAAGTGGGCCCATGGGGAACCTCATGAGATTCAACAAGTTCAAATGCGAGTTCCTCCACCTGGGTCTGAACAACACCCAGTATCAAAACAGGCTAGGAGATGATGTGCTAGAGAGTAGCCCTGCAGAGAAAGACTTGGGGGTACTGGCAGATGAAAAGCTGGACATGAGACAGCAATGTGTGCTCACAGCCCAGAAGGCCGACTGTATCCTGGGTTGCATCAGAAGTACCATGGCCAAAACGTCAAGGGAGATGATTCTGCCCCTCTACTCTGCTCTGGTGAGACCCTGTCTACAGTACTTTGCCAGCTCTGGAGTCCTCAGCACAAGAAACATATCAACTGTTGGAGTGGGTCCACAGGAGGGCCACAAAAAATGTCAGAGGGAGGAAACACCTCTCCTGTGAGGAAAGGCTGAGACAGTCGGGGTTGCTCAACCTGGAAAGCAGAAGGCTCCAGGGTAACCTTATCAACACGTTTCAATACTTAGAGTGGGTCTGTAAGAAAGATGTGGACAGACTTTTTAATAGACCCTGTGAAATGTTTTACAATGAGGGTGGTGAAACACTGGAATTGGTTGCCCGGAAACATGGTAGATGCCCCATACCCAGAAAGATGGGGCTCTGAGCAATTTGATAAGGTTGAAAATGTCCCTGCTCATTGCAGAGGGTTTGGATTAGATGACCTTTAAATGTCACATCCAACTCAAACCATTCTATGAATCTGTGACTAAGAGTGAAGCCAATGACACGTACTCATCTTTTAAAAGATGTTATGTTTTAAGGAAGAATGTTTTACATACATTACTTCACAGAAAATTCTTACTACATCACAAAAAAGTTCCATTAAATTTCTCTGTGGGGTAGATTCAATTAAGATTATTAAATCCACTGAGTTGTGTATTTCAGTAACTCCAAAATTCACAGACCATCCAATCAGACTATGGAAGGGGACAGGAAGGAAGAAAGCACTGTTTTTGAAAGGATGATTTTCCAGACTAATTTGCTTATTTAGAAAGGAAAGTGATTGCCACAAGGACCAGGTTTCCCAGAATGATGAGAAAGTATGGGTTTTTTCCAACATCCAATGACCTTCAAGAGTACAACTATTAAAAGATACCAGTCAAGAAGCCTGTTAGCACACCTTTCTTGACAACATCTTCTTTTCCTAGAAGCTGAGCTTGATACCCTTATAGAAACTTCTCAATAATATTAATTAAGGATTATAAACCACTATATGCATCTCTGAAGCATCCTTATTCAGTTATGGTCAAAAAAGGAAACCACATGAAACAGCTATAAGCATCTCTAGTACTGACCTCGAACTAGCACAATCAAGGAAAGGAGAGTCCATGAAAAAGCATGGTCACTGACTAAAAATGTACATATTAATAGATGAATAGTCACAATTAGATAGCACCATAATAGAGAGGTGGGTCTGAGTGTAAAGTTATGGTAATAACTTTTACTAATACAGAAAAGTATCACCATGCTTCACATGAGAAGTCAATTTTCAGGAAGTTAGTGAACAGAAACAGTTGAGTGGCTGAAGCGTAGGTTTATTTAAGATGACCAAAAAGCAACAGATAATGCCTAAAAAGAAGAAACAAAATCAGTGTGTCAGTGTCCACTAGGAAAAACAAAGGGATAAACTGTACAGCAATAGAAAATAACACCTAAATGGGAAGGAATCTGAAGTCTGTTTCACATGTTAGGCAGATTTCATGTGTTCTTCCATCCTTGGTCAAGAATCTGACCTTCTGTTGTCATGACAAAAATTTTATTCTCACAAAGCTACTTTTCTGCAAATTTTTTATAATACCTTGTTCTGTCTACGTGACAAAAGGAACCACTACATCCTGCACAACTGAAAAAATTCTCTTCACACATAGCAGTTATAAAAGCAAGTGGAAAACTGAGTCATTCATGCTTTTCATGTGTATTTTTTACAACATACATTTTACCTCAGAGATAAGAAACATTTTGAGAGCTTTATTAGCTTGCTTTCAATCTTAGTTTGCAGGGCAATAGCTTGGAGGAAGTGGAGAGAAGCTGAACCAAGTAAACGATGAAGCAATTGTTCCTGATATTTTTCTAGCTGACATTTCCTAAACAGACCTTCTCAGGTTACTGTTCTCCATGTCGATACAGTGGTATCTGCATAACAGATTCCAGGTCAAAGATAAGGTAAAAAAAAAACCATCAGGAAAGCAAATACCCTACCTGTTTCTCACCTGTTTCTTTTCCATTTCAGTTCTATTATCCCTCCCTTCCAAGACTGCTGCAGCAGGACTACTAGGTAGAGTCACAACAGTTTTCATTATGGAGAGTTTCTTAGGTACATGAGGCATCACTGGAAAAACATTTTTAATGGAAACAATTCCTTGAAAAACCATAAACAGGGATATATGTCAAGTACTTTTCAGCATAGCACAGACTTCATAGTAGCAGTACTCTAAAAGTAGATCTGACGCACCAAGTAGGACAATGCAAATACTGACATTTGAACCAGCTATCTGCTTTCCTTTTGTTGGTGGAGAGACATTTCTATAGCACTATTCATCTTATCTGAAACAAATGTCTATAAAAGGTCAGATTGATCATTCCTTTTATAAAGAGTGCCTGTTTACTACTGTATCTCATCTCCAACCTTAGATTTATTGATGAGTTACACAGGATGTTATCCTATAGGAAATCAGTATCTGATTTCCCAGAACAATACAGGCTTTCACCACTGCTAGCAGATAGCATGCAAGACTTTCTGTTCTAGAAACTGAAGCAGGGAAGACTTCACCTTACTTTAGAAGCTGAGTTGCCTAGGATGGGAATGTATTATTGAACAGCTGTGTTATTCTGCTTAACAGGAGATAGAACTGCACTTTCTGACCAACAGCCAAGGCATAATGGGAACACATCCGAAACACTAAATTGCATCTTTTATTTGTTTTCTAAATATTTCCATTAATAATCAAGAAATGAGCTATGCTTAATTCCTTAGATCTTTCAGAAAGCTATTCTTGCATATGCAGCATGTAAACCCTTCCCCACTTTCCCCTAGCACTGCTGGAATTAAGAGTCAGTGTGTTCAAAGGCTCATTCAACCTTTCATCAGCTCCCTCTGTTGCTGATGGAGAGAAATAGCCTCTTGCAGAGACAGTTCTCCAGACCGAGTAGTGAAAGATTGATCTACGCTCTGCATGGACCTCAGGTAAGTCTCTCCCTAAGGTGACTTGAGCACTGCAGTTAAAACCAGGTGTGTGGCTGTTCTGGTTTGTGCAAAACAGAATCAATTATTTTCAGTGATTTTACTTTTCAGCTCAGTCTTTTCTCAGAGACTGCACTTTCTGAAGTCAACAGCCATGTTTTTGCAGACAGGGTCTGCTACTAGAAGTGATTATGCCTGATGTTTAAGTTACTGTCAGAGATCAGTATACAGAAAGGCTCTTGCTGATACTTGCTCCTGTAGTGACCAAGGTCAGTGCTAAACTTCATGTAATACATTGAGGGTGCTGAGAAGTAAGGTTGCACCTCCGTTGAGGAATGGACAGTACAGGTGACCAACAAAACTATTCCACTTCACATATGTCATATTCAGTATAAAGCTGAGGAATCACAGGGGTTAACTCTTCTTGCTCTGATGGTCAGCATCCAAGGAGGACTCCACCCACTTTTCTGCCTTTGATTCCGACCTCGAGTTCCCAAATCCAGCTCCTGTGTCTAGTTTCCCTCTGCTGCTGAGTTTGGGACTTCCCTAGTGCTGGCTGCTCTGCAGCATCAGTAGGGATTGCTATAGTGGGGGAGAGTTGGGTTCAATATCGGTTTTGTATATATTTATATATATGTTCATTATTTCCATTATTTCCTTATTAGTCCTATTATTGTTTCATTAGAGCTGTTTGAGTTTTCTTTTCCAATCCGTAAGTCTCTCTGCCTTATTTCCTTTCCCTTCCCATTTGGGGAGGAAGAGAGGCTAAAGAGCATCTCTCAGTGTTTAGCAGCCAGCCTAGCCCTCATCCTCGACAGCAGCAGATGTGTGTAGGGCAAAGGAGAAACAGAAAGAAGGGGAGAGGCGCGTATGGAATCTCCTGCTCTCTTGTCAGCTGTTGTTAACTGTTCCAGACACGAAGGTGCAGCAACAACCCATGTGCACTGTTACAGCCCAACGCAAACTAAACCCAGTCCAATACAGCCCCATCACAGAGGAAAAAAGACTGGTCTGCAACAGGCATAGCTTGGCTGGGGATGAGACATTTTTATCTCTCTTTCCTTTCACCCTCACCTTGATGCCAGAAGTCTTGATGACCTTCTGTCCACGCACCAGTAAGTGAACCTTGAGCCCAGCCTTGCCCTCAGGAGAGCCCTGTGTGCTCCTGTCAAGAGCTCGCTGGTGGCCCTGAGTGTGCTCCGCCTGCAAAGGCAGGTCCTGCTGCTGCTGCTGCACACAGCCATACCCAGTGCCCTGGAGATGGGGCAGCGGGGAACACCAGCCCACACCTTACACGTAATTCCCGGCTCCGGGTTATTTCAGAGGTCCCCGCACGAGCCCATCTTCTATAGGAAGACATGTCTTTACATCCCCTCTGACCTGGGGCCTTCCTTGCTGCGCCGAGGAGCCGGGGCCGCCCGGAGGCGCAAAGGCATCTCGCGTGCAGCTGCTGCCATCTTGTGACAATGGGGCTGCTCGCCACCCGCGCCATGGCCGCCAGCTTCTTCTTAATCGAGCTCTTGAACCTGGAGTACGTGGTCCTGTCGGAGTCCAGGACCTGTAGAAGTGAAAGGAGACAAAACACCGAGATTAGTCATAGAATCACAGAATCACAGAATTATTGAGGAAAAGACCTCTGAGATCATAAAGTCCAGCCTATGACCCAAGACCATCACATCAGCCAGACCAGGGCACTAAGTGCCACATCCAGCCTCTCCTTAAACACCTCCAGGGTCTGTGACTCCACCACTTCCCTGGGCAGTGCATCCCAGTGCCTGAGCACCCTCTCCATGAGGAAGGGCTTCCTGAGATCCAACCTAAACCTGCCCTGATGCAGTTTCAGGCCGTGCCCTCTCGTCCTGTCACTGGTTGCCCAGGGGAAGAGCACGAACCCCACCTAACCGCACCACCCCTTCAGGCACCTCCCTTCAGGCAGTTGTAGAGAGTGAGAACGTCCCCCCTGAGTCTCCTCTTCTCCAGGCTAAACACCCCCAGCTCCCTCAGCCTCTCCTCACAGCACTTTCCCTCTAGACCCTTCCCCAGCCTCATTGCTCTCCTCTGGACCCGCTCCAGCCCCTCAGTGTCTTACTTGCAGTGAGGGGCCCAGCCCTGCACACAGGGCTCGAGGTGAGGCCTCACCAGTGCTGAGCACAGGGACAGAATCACATCCCTGCTCCTGCTGGCCACACTGTTCCTAACACAAGCCAGGATGCCACCGGCCTTCCGGGCCACCTGGGCATGACTTAATACCATTCCATCCCCTCAAGTTTTCCTCTGCCACAGAGCGTAGGCTCAGCCGACCTCAGAGCAATAGGCCATGGAAATGGATGTTGGGCTGAGGAAGGCTCCAGCAACCAGTTACCCAGGTGGAGAAAGAGTAAAGAGGGAAAAAAGCAGAAAGAAACAAGTGTTTGTGGTCAGATAAGTACCCCTGAATCAACTGTCATACAGAAAGCCTATGGCATCAGCCTTTGAAAGACCCACAGCATCTTTAGACATGTAGCGTAGGGTCTTGAGTCTGGTCTTCCCTGAGAGACAGGAATGTGGGCAACCTCACATCTTGGCTGTCTGGAACCAGGCTGATTTTCTGCTCTTCATCTGAGGGATGGCTTAGATCCCTTTTGGTTTCTGAATCTTCTCAGGGCCACTGCAGCTTGCTTGTACTATTATTTTTAATAAATTACGGCATACTAAATAAAGATTAAACGACAGATTTACATTTCTTACTTTCGAATTCATTCATAGAGCAATTTGTGTCAGAAAAACTTAAAACACAAGAATGTACCAAAATTTTAAATATAAGAGGTAATACTAAACACAAGATTTTGGTTTTCAAACAGTTTTAAAACAATGTTTTAGGTAAAAGCAACAACAGTAAAGAAGCATTGCATGTATAATAGACTTCTGGATAATTATTAGTTACTCCAGTAAATATCTATAATATATTAGGTCTTGTAATTTTTTTATTTCTGAAATATTATTAGATGAAAATGCTGAGATGTAGCTTCGACAGCAGGGTATTGCATGTATTTTCTGCAATCAAACACATTCAGACTTGCTTTAAAATCAGCATTAGTCATCTGTGTTTGCTTGTCGAGTACAGCTTTGTTCATTTCAGCACCTAAGTTTGTGCTTTTTCTGTCTACACTACTGAAACACCATGCTCGCAGGCATCACTGTCAGGCAGGGATCAAGCTTCACATGTCTTGAGATCACAGGAAGCATCCAATTTCACAGTTTTTCAGCATAGACCTTAGCTATTTAGAGGTGATAAAAACGGTTGAACAGACAACTATGATATTGTACAACTCAAGAATAGTTGAGGTGATATTGAAGTCACTGAAAAGCAACAGGCAACCATTTCAGAAACCCCCATTTTATTTTTATCCTTTAAAATGTAGCTTCTAAGTGCAGCAAAAAAAACAGAGAGATAAAAACAGGTGAGCGAGAAATCACTCTTCGTGGTGGTTTGGACTGGGAAGAAAAGAAAGTTAGCAGAAACTGACAAGCAACATGGGCTGAAAGACAAGTAATAGCGTAGAAAAGCCCAAGAACAGTAACATGAAGAAGGCAAAACAAAATCCTGAAGGCTGAGAGGAAAAGAGAGAATAACAAATGGACAGAAAGAAAAAAGGAGAATCTGAGCATGGGAAGACATGAAGAAAGAAAATTTTTTTCTGTAGCTGAGTTGTAACTACTACATGTTGATGTACCTTCAGAAATTAAGACCACCTTTAAAACATAAAAAAATAAAATATATGAAAGACAGCTAACAGACCAGACTTGTGTGGCTCTAACATTGAGAGTGTCTTTCACATTGTCTCCACAAAACATCACTGGAGCTGCTTGGCTTGTGATATAAGCCAGGCAGATCCTCAGTTAAGCCATAGGATTCTCAACTAACTCATTCTTCTCTTGTGCAGACTTTCCATCTTCTCATCTCAGCACAACTAGTTGCAATTAGCCAACAGCAATAAGAAAAGCAACCCATGTTCCACCATCAGCCACCCACAACCATTACAAGAATGTTTTATTATTTTCCCTTATGCCAGCCTATCAGGAAGTTTTTCTCTGCCCTATGTGCTGTAAAAGAGTTTTATGTACAAAGCTGCCTGAGATCCCACAGCAGCTGATGAGAGGCAGGACTGAGGCTGTAAACAGGGTGGTTTCAGTCATACTGTCTTCCCCCTACCTGAAAATCTGCTCCCCAAACTGCTTCTCCAAGTCTGTCTGACAGCATAGGTGCCTGAGCTGCATCAGGCGCACCAGACGAACCTAGGAGAGATGTGCTAGAGCAGCACTACACACCCGCAAGAGGCCCCAGCAGTTCTCAAAACAGTGTGCAAACACTGGAGAATCCACACAGGTCAGATAAACAGAACACCCTTAGGTGATGGGAACACACTTTGCATTAATTTCTTTTTCTTTTTTTTATTCCCCAGGGAGATTTTTGTACCCTACGCAAGAGCTCTTAAGTCCAGCAGAGGCACTGTGATTCGAAACAACCACTTCTGCAAGAGGAACAAAATGAGCAGCTTTGTTCTTTCCAGTCGAGCTGCGAGTTTCATATTTCAGCTCCTCCTTCACATTCCAGGCCTGCCCAGGCTCCTTTCCAAAGATTTCGAAAATGGAGCCTCTCACAACTACTTATCCTCTGAAATACTCAGTGCCCAAAGCCAGGATCTTTGTTGTCTTTCTGTCAATGGTTTTGTGTACCACCACTCTCTGCCTGCTGCAATTAAGATTTTTTAAACCTAAAATCAAAGATTTCTACTCTTTCGAAGTCAAGGATTCACGAGGAAGGATCGTTTCCTTGGAGAAGTACAGAGGGAAAGTAAGTTACAACATTATATCTTTGTCTTGAATCTTTACTGAAAAGCAGGTGTCCATTTGTAGGTAAACAAAAAGTTTGGTTATGGGAATTTTCAGCAGAGATTTTTACTAAATTCCTGTTTTTCAAACAGCAACCTGGAGAGAAATTTATTTTATGTAGGCCTGCTCCAGGAATTAAGTATTAAATCTAAGAAATCAAGAAAAATGGTGGGTTTTTTTATTCTTTATTATAAAGCAATATAACATAACAATGTAACATAACAATATAACATAACAATACAATTTGTGTGTTTTAATCTTAGTTAAGAATGGTGGTATGTTGTGTTGAATTCTGGAAGTTGATCTAGTAAACATTTATTTCAGTGCCTATCCAACGTAACTGCTTTTTTACATGCTTATATTTAAGCAAAGCTGCAAGTTGAAATTTATCCATTCACTGGACTTTTAAAACAGGCTGAAAGTCAGTATCTTAAGCTGCTATCACCCTTATCTGTTTAATGAAATTATGATCAGAGAGATTAAGTTTAGCTTTCTGGGAGGAATGGTTGTGGTAGTAGGAAATGGCCATTTTAAGACTTACTTGTAATCTCTATGCCATCTCTAGGGTTGTTTCTTACCATGATACTTTTATTTCTCTGAAGGCAACTTTGGTTGTAAACGTGGCCAGTTACTGCCAGCACACAGACAAAAATTACATCGCGCTGCAAGAACTACACAGAGAGTTTGGTCCCTCCCACTTCACTGTGCTCGCTTTTCCCTGCAACCAGTTCGGAGAATCAGAGCCTAGCTCAAGCCAGGAAATAGAATCTTTTGCCAAAGGAAACTATGGAGTAACTTTCCCTGTCTTCCACAAAATCAAGATCCTAGGATCAGAAGCAGAGCCTGCCTTTAAATTTCTAATAGGTAACTATTTTTTTATATATATCGAGTTGCCTGTAACCATGGTACATTCCCTAAATTCCAGTCTGTTTGTCAGGAAACACTGTACTCTGTGCATAGGCTGTGGAGAGGAACAGGCATTCAGCATACCATTCACCGTGTTCCAATGTGGATATAAAAAATATGGTCAGAAAAGTTGTACCCTGAAAGCATCTATTTCTCCTCACTGATTATAAAAACAGCCTACTGTGACCAGTCCGGCTAGAAACATCCATTTTTTGGATGTATTAACTTGAGTGCAAACTCCCACTTAAAAAATCCCATTTCAGATTACATGACTTTGGTTGAAACAACTTTTCTTATGGACAAAACTGTTACTATGGAGGGTTTTGAAATTACTGGAAGATTTTGCATAAACACATGGAGATGAGAAGACTCCTTTTTTACCAGAGTCATATGTTCACCTTTATATAAACTGTATTGTAAAGCAGGATTATATATACATTGTAGTTATATATAATCACTGATTTGAATTAATTTGTTTTGTCAACTTCAGGGCCCAGCCTGCAAAACCTGCTCACACAAATACTCCTGTTACAGTAAGCACTTACTTAGAGTCTCGTATTCTCACAAGCAAAATGACGCTTGTGTTGGGCCACTGCAAGGTTTGTGGCCTCACCCTTCCTCAAATGGTGTCCAGCTTCCTACGTATTTTTATGTTGCATGAGTTACTCCCACGCGTTTGAAATTATATTCGGAGGTGGGAGTGTATTACTTTAAGGCTGATCCTAGATATAGCAACTCAGCAAAGAGATAATTACAAGCTAGGTCAGAGTCTCCGTAAGATGAGCTTTACTATATCCATTTGCTTGCCATGGTATCCCCTTACCATTCTAACATTACAAATGCAGTCCAATGACAGAATTCAACCCACTGCATCCAAGAATCGGTGTCGGGTTCAGCACTGTTCCCCAGTTCGCCATTGAAAATCTCATGGAATTTTCTTCTAGTTTGTCTCTCAAAAAGAGATTTCCCTCTAAACCCATGAGATTCTCCAGGGACAAAGCCAGAGTGAAGAAACCACTTTTTCCTCCCCGAGGAGCCCCACAGTTTCCCGTTAGTCCCTTGATCTCAGAAATTATCTTGCCAGGTATTCATGATAGCAAAGGCACTGGGAAGGTTTTGCCTCATGGGATGAAAGGGTTTGGGCTGGGCTGGCCTTAAACAAATGGCAGATGCTCTCTAACCACGAATGGGAAAGGAAAAGGGAATGAGGCAAAGACACTTGCAGACTGGAAAAGAAAACTAAAATAGTTTTAATAAACAATAGTAGGACTAATAAGAAAACAACGAAAATAGTATGTATAGATAGATACAAAGCCAATATCAAATCCATCTCCCCCACCCTCCCCCCACAGCAATCCCTACTGATGCTGCAGATCAGGCAGGCACCAGGGAAGTCCCAAACTCAGCAAGAGAGGGGAATTGGAAACAGGAACTGGATTCAGGAACCAAGGACTGGGACAAAGGCAGAAGAATGGACAGGGTCCTCCTCAGGCACCACTCACTGAAGAAGAGAAAAAGAGGGCTTAACCCTTGTAATCCCAGATTTATACTGAATACGATGTATATGGAATGGAATACTCTTGTTGAACAGGTTTGGATCACCTGTCCTGTCTCTTCCTCTCTGCAGGTGCAATATTTTTACCTCCTTGCGACCCTTTTACTTCCCAGCACCCCCAGTGTGGCACACAAGACCCAGCGGTGACCTTAGTTACTACATATAAGCCTTTCTGAATACCAATAAGCCTTTCTGAATACCAATCTCTGGCAGTTACTGTAAACATCAGGTGTTACCACTTCTAGTAGGAGACTGCAAAAACATACTGTTGACTTCAGAAAGTGCAGTCTCTGAGAAAAGACTGAGCTGAAAAGTAAAATCACTGAACAGAGGTGTTTAGGACAGAGGTGAATTAAGCCATCACCAGTATGATTTCCTGCTCCCATTTCACTTCCCCTAAACAGACATAACACTGGGGATTCTCAAAATGTGTATGCAGTCCTCATATCCTCCTCCCTAGGAAGCAGAGCATAGTTAAAGTAGGAAATCTTACAAGAAGGGGAAAGTATCATTCACTTCCCACTTTTCTGATCATGAACACCAACCAATAAATCCATGCCCAGACTACTAGCAGAGAACAAGGTGGGATTACTTCCATATAAATAGCTGAAGAATCACTGTAGGGTAATGAAACAATTACACTGTAAGTCACTAAAATGATCTGATGCCATTCTTACAGATTCTTCAAAGAAAGAGCCTCGATGGAATTTCTGGAAGTACCTTGTCAGTCCTGAGGGTAGAGTTGTGAAATTCTGGAGACCTGAAGAGCCCATAGAAAGTATCAAGCCAGAAGTAGCATCATTAATCAGGCAGATTATCATGAAAAAACGAGAAGACCTCTAAACAAGCAATTCATGCCAGGAATCGATTCAACTGCATGGGTACAGGGCCTTTCCTGGGAAATGCTGCTAGAAGTTAAACCATCAGGTCATTTTACTTTTCTTTGGTGTTAGTATTTTCAGCTACACTATGTCTATTAACGTGGGATTGGCTCCTGCAACAGCCTTGAGAACCACTGAAGTTACTGCGAATGGCAAGGCACACACTGCCTTGCAGGGATGGACTTTCAATTTACATAAAGTTTGTGAATGTTTCTTTAAAGTGCAGACAATAGTTAATTACAATTGTCACCAGCAGGGAAATAGCTAAAAAGAAGGGGATTTTTTTATATAAAATACTAAGTATTTGCACAGAGTTTTGTTTCCTATCTACCAGTAACAAATAGATTTTGATATTCCATTAACATGTAATTGCCCTGACTGAAAGACATGGGCTCCAGAGGTGTCATAGCAGGGTTTTTAGAAACAAATGCAACTGAAGATACCAGCTTTGCAAAATATTCTCAAGGAAGGATACTGAATTGTGAAGCTGTTAACTTAGGTCTAAAAAACAGTACATAGAAAATAAACTTACTGAAAGAAAAGAGAAAAAAATGAAGAAATGTTTCCTTGCCTGCTTTGTATTTTGATTAATTTTATATTACATGTCTACAGTAACAGCTTTAACCTCTTTAGCCTTCTCCATACATTTGCATTGGCATAATACCAGAACTAAAATAGACTTTTTTTGTTCCATCAACAGCACCCATCATTTCTTTTTTATTCAGTGACTTGAAAAGCATTGGGCCATCACAGTGCACATGAATGGACATGCGTGTTTTTGTCATGTGCCTTTTCAAGGAAAGATACTGTTCACCTTTTCTGGGAAAACATTATGTCCCGCCACTTAGTTCCATGGAGTCTGGATTGCTCCCAGTGGAGGGAAAGGATTCATATCTCAATTCCTTTCTTGCTCCATCAAAGTGGCAGGGACACATGACAAAAATCACCTGCTGTTCCCCTAAAGGTTCCAAAGGCTGGAGCTGTATGTTCATGAGCTGACTGGAGTAAGACACAGCACCTCAGCATAAGAACAGGAACTGTCTTGACAGATCAGTTGTGGAATCTTACAGGCTGGAGGCAAACAGCTCAGGAGTTGGTCTAAAACACCCGGAGTAGGCACGTTTAGATTAACTAGACCCGTACGTAGGCCTTAGCTGATCTCTGAAAGTGTGGCTCAAATTGTCATGCGTAAGGCTTGATTTCCCTTCCAAAATGATGGTTGTCATTATTGAGGGTGATTTTGTTTAATCTGCCACATCAGAATCCTTAATCAATCTGTAAACTCAGATAACTCAATGCCAGCATTAAGATCAAATATCTTTCCTGGTATTCAGAAACAGCATGGGATATTAGCAAATGAGTGGACAGAATTATTTAACTCACTGCTTCCTGAATTACTTTGCTTCAGGTTTCTAGAAAACTGGGTTCTGCCTGAGAAAATAGTTATTGAATTTCTTATTTCACCATTTAGTCAGAATCCACTACAATCATCTTCTGTAGAAATTTGAATACAGGCACCATTCAGTCCTGAATCTACACAGGGTTTAAGTTTTTTTCAGAGTTTACTGCTAATTAACATTTCTCCAAAAACTCAACAACTACTTAAACTTCATGAGACATACCAGCTCTTCCCATGTAATATTTAGGGTGGATCATTGATAAACTCATCACTTCTTTCTTAAAAACAAGCTACAGTCACCCAGTGTAAAAATAAAGCATCTCTAACTGTCAAATCTACACAGACTTGGAAAGGTGGATAAATGAAATGAAAAAACACTTATACAAGCACACATTCATCTACAGATAAAAGCCAACAAAGTAACATGAATATGTGCATGTATAAATATTCACATACAGTTTACTTAGGATATACCATATAAAAAATAATAAACTGCAAAACTGTAAGCAGATTAAAATCTTTTTATTGGATTCTTAAACAATTCTACCAATTTAAGATAAAACCATCCTCTTAAGAATGTTAACAGAGTTCAGCCCATGAGTGTTCAAGTTCCTTCAACCCCATGTGAGCATAACCTATTGCATCCTTCATTTCTGTCCCATGCTTCCCTCACTCCTTCAGTCTGACATATCCTCATTATCTCCCAACAGATACTATTTAACTGTCAGCTACTCTTTCCAAAAAAAAATGCCTAGGAGTGCAAATACTCTAAAACCATTTCAGTCACCGGTTGGACACACCGCTGTTAATTCAATATTATCAGAAAATACTTGTTTGCTGAACCCACGCATCAATGGTCCAGTAAACATCAAGTGGTGTAAAAGAAACATATTCATATAGGGTCCAAACCTGAAACACTTACTTCGTACTTACATATTTTATTAAATATTTTGGAAATCTGTTGATTAGCTGCGTAAGTGTGTCAAACACAGTTACACTTAATTTTATACTCTACATTCACTCAGTTTGCATAACCTAACACAGCTCCTTTCTGTCCAAGAAACTAGGCAGGCATCAGGCCCCACACCGGCTATGGATCTGATGTTATTTTCAATAACAGTGTTTATATTCTTGTCTCAGTGCTGATGTGCTGATGTGGCAGTGTCGTCAGTTGCTGGTGTATGAAGAACAGCTAACTAACAGTACACTGCCTGATCACCACACACAAACATCACAAACATCGATGTTACTCCTCTTCCCAGGACGCCTTCACTTTACAAGGCACTTACAGCAGCACCCGGATAGAGCAAGTAATGACAAAGAGTTTCTTCTCTGTTCTCTAAGTGCTTGAAGTGGCACAATGAGGGTAGAAGAAACACTCTGTTGCCTGTGGCGGTATGTTTGATAGAAGTTTGCAGTGAAACATGAATGAAAAGGAATGCTTCCAGCCTTTCTTCTTCTAAACATACTATTATGTCCTACTCAAATTGTATCTCCTGCCTGGTGAAACTATGTGCAGTTGTTTTAATGTATTGCTGTTCACAAGTTCTGAGAAGCAAGAGGACAAGAAAAACTCTAAATTTTTCCTTTTTTTCTTTTCTTTGAAAGAATTGAAAGGTAATTTTTCAGATACAGCATTCAGGCAGTTAGTGGGAGTGATTTTAAGCACTTACAGCAACTAATTATTCTGTCAAAAAAAACAATAACAACATCCCTCTCCAAAAAAAAACCCCACAAGATTTTGCATTTGCCAAATATCATTATAAAAAAATTCAAATCAAACTTTAAAACACATGTGATGTGTTTAACTGGGCTTCTTTTGCTTTAAGAAAACTTACAGAGCTTAAAATTGTTTGAAAGTGTTTTAATTATTTACCTGTTTGAAATAGTTATGAGCTTTCTGCTGCCTTCATATCTAAAAGCAAATGAAAACCTGAATCTTAATTCAGCAAAAATTCTCACAAGTCTTTGGATAAACAGTGGATGATGGAAATAGAAAATACCACTAGAATACCAGAAATGAGCTCAACAGTCAAAATAAAAACCCTTACATAAATTCCTTATACAAATATAGTAGCTCTCCATTTGGATGATCAGAGTATGTGGAAAAGGATAGCAACTGCATGTTAGCTGATACCAGAATTTCAACCAGCAAACATACACTGCCACCCCATCACACACAGATGCACCACCTGCATTCCTGGAAACTGGAACCCTAGCACTTCCCAAAGGAACCACCTTTTTAAACAACGATGAGCTGGCCCTGCAGCAGGTGACAGTGCAGTAGTGACTGCTACATCCAGGCACAGCAGCCAGCTACTAGTACACTGCCTACCAGACACAAGAGTCCATGCAGAGTGGATGCCTGGAAACGTCCATTATTCTCTATCTAAATTTAGCATTGCTTACCTGTTTTGAGGTACATGTTTCATACATGCATATATACAAGTTCAAGCAGTAAATATTGTCTTGAAACAGTCCATTGCACAGAGAAGTTTCTGAACCAGCAAGGCCTGAACTAAAGTAATAGTATAAAACCTACATGGAGTATGACTAGAATCAGAACCCAGACTGTCCAAAACGAACCAGATAGTGTTGGAAACAGTTTCTTACCATAGTTTTATGAGCACCAGTATAGTAAGTTATCTCCACGAGTTAATTAGTATCATAGACACTTACTTCAGTCCTTTACTTCCTTGGACATATACGGTCACTCTTGGAGCCTGGCCCTTAGCCTAAATCAGCACAGAGTCTAACTCAGTAAGTCAGTTTTAGGTTATTTTGAAATTAGAATTATCATTGGTTACTCCACAGTACAACTTAAATTTAGGTGATAAGCCACACTATACCTCCATTTACAGCCATGTAATGGAGGATGCCTAAAGATGCCAATGTTCAAGTTTATGGATGTAGGCTGGATAGAGATAAAACTTTATCTACAACATCCATTTTGATGAAAACCACTTTGAAGTCATGCTGGAAAGCACCCACTGAGTTCGACGCTTTGTATAAAAGACAACAAATATCAAATTTGAAGCCTTCCCTTTGCTTCTTAAAACTGGTCTTAAATCACTCAAAATAATTCTCAACTTGATACAAAGTGAAGCACTAAAACATTTACTTGCCTGACTGCTGCTATAAGCAGCCACAGAAAAGCTGGTTGACCTCTGTTTGTTCCACAGCAAGAGGAGACCACCTCAGAATTTATCATGATGCTTTTGAATGAAACAATATGGAGTGCACCTAGCAGCTGTTGACACGTCAGAGACAACAGCATGCTAACATGCACTGCCAGACTGTTACAGTCTCTTAAGTTTTGGCCATCAGCTCCTCACCACACCACCTCCCTAAAGTTTCTTCTCCTAGAGCCCAGTCCTGGCTCACTTTAACAACATGACTTTTCCCATGGGATCACTTATCTAAAAACTTATGTTGGAGTGACATTCTCAGCATGCTGGTGGCTACATTTCTGTACTGTCATTGCATTTAACAGCACAACTCAGCTACTGCTTCAGTATTTTCAGTATTGTCTATTCTTTTTACACCTTCACCTCCCATGCCACTAGCCCGAATGTTGTAGTGTCATGGTGTTTTGTGATCTATGTCAATTCTTGAAGGCACAAGCTGACTGTATTTTGTCTCTTGCTCTCTGTCAAGCATATTGTTGGCAATTAATAGGTTTTCCACCCGTGTTTCTACTTTATATGCAAGTTCTTCATTGTCCCTTTTATCTTTACCA